AGGGGAGGGAGTACACCCTTCAAAGAAGGGGGAGCGGGGGGTGCCACGAGAGGCAGCGACAGCGACAGTGCTCTTCTCAACCTCGAGAAGGGCCTTCTCAAGCGAGTCAAGTGTGAGCTCAGTGGGGTCCATGGCTAGGAACTGGTCCCTGACAGTGCGAAGGGAGTCAGGGAGGCGAGTGATGAGAAAGTACAGGGTGAAATACTGCGGGGGGGGGTTCTTAGCGAGAAAGGCCGGCTTGAGAGCGGCACGGAAGCGATCCTCACTAGAGCGGAGGTAGGTAAAGAGGTCAGAGACAGTGCGGAACTCAGCTAGATCGGGATGCAGGTATGGCAGCATGAGACGGCCTACAGCAGCAGTAGCTGGGGAGGAGTAGCGAGAAACGACAGCGTCATAGAGATCCTTGGCCGTTTTCTGTCGGCTAAAGTGCGCGCGCTCATTGACGGGAAGGTGGTTGCGGACAGCAAGGCGGGCAGCTGCATCACGCATGAGCCACTTAGACAGATTTTCTACAGCGTTGGCAGCAGAGGCTGGGAGCTTTCCCTCAGTGTGTAAGAACAGGGAAACGCCATCCTTAGACTCGCTCTGCAGGAACAGCTGGAGATCGTCTAGCCAGACATCAAAGGTAATCGCGCGGCCCTCAGCATCGAACTTAAGAACTGACAGGTTAGCCATAGCAGCAGTAGCAGTGGCAGCAGTAGCAGCTGTAGCAAGTGCAGTAGTAGCATCAGCAGTAGTAGCATTACCTGTAGCAGCAGTAGTTGCAGCAGCAACAGCAGTGACAGCTCGGGTTCGACGGCGCGGCTCAGACAGGGCGGCGCGGCTCGGGCTCAGTGGCGGAGCAGCAGCGGTAAGCAGCAGCAGCATCCGGCGCTCAGTAGCAGCAGCATCAGCAGCAAGGAGGAGAAGCTGTAGCAAGTAGCAGCAGCAGCAGCAAGGAGGAGCAGCTGCAGCAAGTAGCAGCAGCAGCAGCAAGGAGGAGCAGCTGCAGCAAGAAGCAGCAGCAGTAGCAGGGCAGTGCAGGCGGCAGCTGCACTGCAGCAGCAGTTCAGGTGGAACAGCGTAGCAGCAGCAGCGAGTGCAGCAGTAACACGGGCCGCGTGCGGGCCAGGCATGGGCTGTAAGGGCTGCGTGCAGGCCTGGCGCGGGCTGTACGAGCTGCGTGCGGGCCTGGCGCGGGCTGCAAGGGCTGCGTGCGGGCCTGGCGCGGGCTGTACGAGCTGCGTGTGGGCCTGGCGCGGGCTGTACGGGCTGCGTGCGGGCCTGACGTGGGCTGTACGGGCTGCGCGATGGCCTGGCGCGGGCTGTACGGGCTTCGCGACGGGCCTACGCGGGCTGTACGGGCTTCGCGACAGGCCTACGCGGGCTGTACTGGCTGCGCGCGGGCCTGGCGTGGGCTGTACGGGCTGCGCGCGGGCCTGGCGTGGGCTGTACGGGCTGTGCTCGGGCCTACGCGGACTGTACGGGCTGCGCACTGCAGAAAGGGCCAGGGCAGCGCGAAACGCTGGACAGGGCAGAAACTAATGGTCGGGCAGGTGAAAACGAATGTGGTGGGCCCTTAATTACGGTCCTAGGCTAGGAACGTCCTAGCTCTTAATATCATGTTAGAATACTAGGAAGGAATGTGTGTTAGGTAAGAGGGAGGGGGTACAAGACTATCGAGAGAGTTGGGTTGTACCCTCTAAGGTGTGACCCCTACACAACCTAGAGTGAAATGAACAGAACAATATGTTTTGACATTATGTTGTGTAGGCTGTAGTGGGGTAGCCTATATGAGGTACAACCCAATTAGGGCTAGTAGTTGTACTTAGTTTGATGCCAATGCAATCATTCCTGCTCGTTAGTTTCTGACATGGTTTCAGAGCAGTAGGTCCGTAGGACCGTTTTTTTTTTGGGCCCACCATTACCTAGTGACCAACTGCGGTTACCGCATAACCCCACGCCCTGCCCTGCGCTGCGCCTTCAGCACGCGCCCTGCCCTGCCCTGCATTGCGTCGCGCTGCCCCGCGCACGCCCTGCCCCACGTCATGCTGCAGCCCGCGCGTCGCGCTCTGCTGCAGCCCATGCGTCGCGCCCTGCTGCCCCGCGCGTCGCGCCCTGGTGCAGCCCGCGCGTCGTGCCCTGCTGCCCCGCGTGTCGCGCCCTGCTGCCCCGCGCGTCGCACCCTGCTACAGCCCGCGCGTCGCGCCCTGCTGCCCTGCACAGCGCGCGCCCTACTGAGCCGCGCCGCCCAGCCCGAGCCGTCCTGCTGCTGGTGGAGGTGCTGCTAGGAGTGCTGGAGGTGCTGCAGCCTAGTCTCACCGAGCCGCTCTGCTGCTCTTACTGCTGCTACTGCTACTCGTGCTACTGCCTTCCCTCCGTAATGACCTACTGGTCACGCGCCTCCTTGCTTGCCCGCTATGACTTCACTTCGTAGTAGCGGTGGGAGTGGTGACGGCGGAGGGGGCAGCAGTGGGAGTGGTGGCGGCCGTAGTAGCAGTCCCTGTGGAGCTGTTCGGTGGGAGGTTTCTTGCGGTGGCCAGATGCAGCTGCAGCGGCGTCCGTGCGAGGCCCTTACGCCCCAGCAGCTTCGTGAGTGGTACGCCAGTAGGTGTGGTGGCAGCGGCCGTAGTAGCAGACGCGGTGGAGCTGTTCAGTGCGGAGTTTCTGGCGAGATGCAGCTACAGCAGCGTCTGCGCGAGACCCTTACGCCCCAGCGGTGTATGCAGCTTCGTGAGTGGTATGCTCAGAGTGAGGGGACTTGGAGTACTGTCCGCTCATACGTCATTCGCACGGGTGATCGGGCTGGTCAGACTTGCGGGACAGTTGGTCACACACAGGCTCGCTGCTTCGCCTGTCTGAGCGACGCCTGGCGTGCAGTGTTTGGCGATGAGGCTGAGCTCCCCCGCTGGGTAGAGCTGCTTTGGAACAAGGTGGATATCCCTGCTTTAGATTATGACACTATCCTCACTGCCATATATGCTTTGCCTACTAGTACTCAAGGTGACTGTTACCTGTGTGTGCCGCCCGACCTTGGTATAGCGGCTGCTGCTTTAGGTGCTGGTGAGTCTGCTCTAGGTGCTAGTGAGACAGCTCTAGGTTCTCATGAGTCTGCTCTCTTTGGTATTGCGCCTGCTGAGGCCTTGCACACCTTCACGCTTGACCAGGTGCTTCCCGCTGCTTCTTTCGCGACAGCACCATTGTCACACCACTCGCAGCACCGGTTTCAATCTCTCTGGCTGACCCCTCTGGGGGACCGGTTCGTGTACGTTCCTCCACTGTTCTCCCGTGTCCGGCGGTTCCGTGTGGCTCACTGTCAGGTCTTCACCTCCCCTCGTTCTCTACGAACTTGGTGAGTAATGTCGTCGTTCAGGATGCTTGGGTTTATACCTTCATCCCCGGAGGACGGCGTGTGGCGATCTGCACGTGTGCACGGACGGGCCGTCACCTGGCCACGTTCACCCGTCGACCTGGGTCGAGCCTGTACACACTGACTACTGAGCCTCCTCAGATAGCTGCGTCTGCGTCCGCGTCAGGTCAGCTAGCAGCTCCCTGTTCGTGTCGCCTCCTGTCGCACCAGACTCTCCTCTGGCACCACCGCCTAGGTCACCCCTCCCTGCCACGCCTCTGTAGCATGCACAGTGTGTTGTTACGTAATATGCCGCCTGCGGAGCAACTAGGCATTCGCTCCTACAAAGAGAGTGCCGCTCTAGCCATGGAAGCCTGGAAGCACCTCGTTGAGGTATATTAGCCAAAGGACTTAGTCACCTCCAGCAGGCTCCTGCAGCAGCTCATGGAAACCAAGATGGGGCACGGGGAGAAAGCGAATGCATATATTAACCGCTGTCGGAACAACCGTGACCAGATCACGGAGCATGGAAGCGTGATTTCAGAGGAGATCTTCGTCAACATCGTCTTCCAAGGACTCGGGCGCAAGTGGAAGCCCTGCAAAGCGCTACTTCGACAACGAGGAATTACCTCAGAAGCCGCGCTATGCGCCGCCCTCCTAAATGAACAGCAGGACATGGATTCGAGCAAGAAAAGTTCCGCGCCGCGCCGAGAGCGCCTCGCCTTCTATACAGACAGCCGTGAATGAGACGACAACCAAGGCGCCATTAGTGCAAAATCTGCAAAGTCTTCGAACATTCAACAAACCGATGCAAATCCTGGTCCAACTATCGCCACCCACATTCCACTCACCACAATAACTGGGTCGGCCGACAAGATGCTCGTCACTTCTAGCCTCAACATCAAGCTCCTCGCCCTCCTGCACAACACCAACAACAGCAGCAGACACAAGCGTCTTAAGCAGGAGCTACCCGAAAAGTGATCGCAAATATGGCGACAGGGCGTCGCTCACGAGCTACCTCATCAGACAAAAAGGAGGAGCCTCGCGGCGCGCTCATTCAACCTGAAGAAGGGTGGAACAATCCCTTCACAGAGAACTCCTACGACGACGACGACGATGAGCAAGATTGGCACCAGCCAATTCAATTGCGGGAAAGCCCACCCCACGATCACCAGCGCTTCGTTCCCGTGGGATGGAGAGAAGATGAACTCTTTGAGAGAAGATATAAGGCGACCCTGGTGACACCGTAGCTTGCACTCCTCTTGCGCAACAACAACACCAACCACAACACCTGGTACTTGGACAGCTGCCGCGGCCAGCACATGGTGGGATTTGTTGTGAATCAAGAAAACAGGAATGAAATGACTAAGTGAAAGTTGGGTACAAAAGGCAAACCCTAGGAAACTGTACCCCATATGTGCTACTCCACTATAGCCTACAGTAGCTATGTCAAATAACTCTGACACACCCCCATAGGCAAAGTGGGGGAGAACAAGGGGTCACAAGACCAGTCAAGCAAAGCAAAGCAAGCTCAGGGTGGATCACAAAGTCACCACACATTCCGAGCACAAGTTCAAGGCCACAAGGCCAGTTAACATGCAGGATTACATATATATATAAGGCTAAACAAGCAAGAGCAGGAGTATATATATATGCAACAGTACAAACAAGGTCAAGAGGTGAGCAAGTGAGGCAAGGTAGGCACAAGACCCAGCTGAGTACAGAAGCGCTGATGATCACAAGGCGCAAGTGCCTTGGTGAAGATATCAGCAGTGTTGGCCTCAGAGGCCACGTACGCAAGTCGCAGCTGACCACGCTGCTGTAGCTCACGAGCAAGGAAGTAGCGAAGAGCAATGTGCTTCGTTCTGTGCTCCAGTCTCTGCTCTCGACACAAGGCCAGCATGGCCTTGTTGTCTACGTAGAGCACTGGAGGAGAACGAGGCGGCTCTCCGAGGTCAGTCAGCAGGTAGGTGAGCCAGCGAAGCTCCTGTGCAGCCATGGCCCCGGCGTAGATCTCAGCCTCGCAACTGGAGCCGAGAACAGAAGACGAGCGAGTAGCCCGCCACGAAACAGAGCCGGAACCAAGGCTGAAGGTGTAACCCTGTGACGACCGCTGCGTAGCCTGGTCGTCAGCCCAAGAAGCGTCTGCGTGTCCAGTGAGGACCACTGGACTCTGCCCTCCAAGCACAAGCCCCATGCCCGATGTACTGCACAAATAGCGCAACACCCTCTTCGCTGCAGCCATGTGCTCCGGTCTGTGTCTCCCAGGAGCAACATAGCGTGCAAGAATGCTAAGAGAGTATGCAAGGTCAGGTCGTGTGCAGGTCATCAGGTACATGAGGCAGCCAACAAGCTCTGGGTACGGGCCACTCGACTCTACGGACTCATCCGAAGGCAGAGCTGAGAGCGAGTGGCGAGTAGGCAGAGGAGTGGCCTGAGGCGAGGAGTACGTGAAGCCGAAGCGCTGAAGGACCTGCTGCACCATGTGTGACTGAGTCAGGGTAATGGTGCGGCGTGCTCTGTCCCGGGTGATCTGCAAGCCAAGGTAGCTGCGCAGTTCACCCAGGTCTGTGCACGTGTGTCTCTTCTGCAGCTCGGACTTCACGTGGGCGAGTCCAGCAGTGTCAGCTGTGGCAAAGACCAAGTCGTCGACGTACACGAGGATGTAGAACGGCTGCAAAGAAGTGTCGGTGCGCAGAAACAGCGACGGGTCGGCAGTAGAGGGAGCAAACCCAAGAGCCGCAAGTGTAGTCCTCAGTGTGTCGTGCCACTCACGCGGTGCCTGGCGGAGACCGTAGACTGGCCGCCGGAGGCTCCACTGGGTGCCAGGAGGAAAAGACCCAGTGAAGCCAGGTGGGCGACGCAGCCAGATCTCCTCGTGCAGGCTGCCCTGCAAGAAAGCAGTGCTGAAGTCAAGAGAGTGCAGCTCGTAGTCGCGGTGAGCAGCTATGTGCAGCAGTACCCGAAGAGTGGTCATCTTCGGGGTGGGAGAGAAGGTCTGAAAGTAGTCAACTCCCTGCCTCTGACTGAAGCCACGAGCCACGTAACGCGCCTTGAAGACAGGCGGAGAACCCGGCGGTCGCTTCACCCTGAAAATCCACATGCCACTGACGATGTTCGCCCCAGGCGGGGGAACCTCGTCAACGTAGGTGCCTGTGGACTTCCAGGAAGCCATCTCTGCGTCCATAGCTGCCTGCCACTGAGAGGAGTAGGGACCCTCTATCGCCTCCGCGTAAGAGCGCGGAGTCGGGATGTCAAGTGCATCCGGGTCTCCCTCAGGGGTAAGCAGTACGGACACGAGATGAGGTGAAGCAGCAGCCAAACACTGGAACTCCTCCTGCCTGTCCTCAAGGACGTCCGTGCCAAGGGCACACTCACCCCCGACGGACGGAGGACAGACAGACTCAGACTCAGCAACAAGTCTAGCAGCGTAGTCTAGACGACAGCGAGCAGCAAAGTCGACGAGCTCAGTAACTAGGGCAGACGCAGCAGTGGACTCAAAGGAAGGGTCAGTGACAACAGTAGCAAGGAGACGCGTGACAGTAGGACTGGCAGCACGAAGAGAGTCCGACTCCGGGTCAGGAAGAGCAGGAAGAGAGGACTCAGGAGGAGAAGGCAAAGGGGCACGCAGAGGAGCAGTGGACGGACGCAGAGACATCCGGTGCGTGCCAGGGACAGGAGGAGGACGCTGACGCGAACCGCGACCACTAGTGCGAGCAGCACGGACAGGCGACGCAGGGCGAGACGCAGGCTCACGACGCTCAGCAAGACCTCCAGTAGGACCAGTGTAGGGAGAATGAGCGGGCAGTGGGGAGGCCGGCTGTAACTGTAACTGTGACGGGACAGGCTGTGGACACTCTAAGGGAGGAGGAGGACCAGGAGAAGGCGGGAGACCAAGAACCTGCTGAAGGAGCGGAACGAAGTACGGCCTAGGCCGTGTGGCGACTCCAGACACAGCAGGGACAGCACCAGTACCCCCAGCGGCAGCACCAGCGCCAGCAGTACCTCCAGCTCCAGCACCCCCAGCAGGACCGCCTCCAGGACCGACAGCAGTAGCCTCAGCGCCAACACCCTCAGCAGCTCCAGCTCCAGTCGTACCCGCAGGCCCAGCAGCTCCAGTACTCCCAGTACGAGCACCTCCGGGACCCGCGGCACCAGCACCCTCAGCAGCCGAAGAACCTCCAGCTCCAGCAGCACGCCTCCAGCGCCGGGCAAACCACTCGCGCAGCTCCTGTGGAGAGAGTGCCTCCCGTCGAGACGAAGCACCCAGAGAACCTCCAGGCTCAGCACCGCCAGACGCCACACGAGCAGGCCCAGCTCCCTCAGGCTCCGCACCCCCAGGCTCAGCACCTCCAGGCGTAGCACCCCCAGGCGTAGCACTCCCAGGCTCAGCACCCCCAGGCTCAGCACCCCCAGTAGTAGCACCCTCAGGCTCAGCACCCCCAGGCGTAGCACCCACACGCTCAGCACCCCCAGAGTCAGCACCCCCAGGCTCAGCACCCTCAGCAGCACCAGAGTCACCAGTAACCTCGACAGGCTCGACTGCGTCTACCTGGGACACACCTGAAGGGGCAGGACCCTGAGGGGGGAGGGGGTCTACCGGGGGGGGACCTGGGACAAGGAAGAGCGGTGGCGGGGGGAGGGACGGAGTGCGGTAGGGGAAGAGGCGGTAGTAGGGGACCGACTCGTCAAACGTGACGTCCTGGGAGGACAGAACACGGCGAGAGGTGGGGTGGTAGAACTGCCACCCTGGCGCGTCAGGGGGGAAGCCAAGGAAGACGCAAGGAGCAGCACGAGGGGACAGCTTGTCCGCAGACAAGTCGCGGACAAACGCTCGAGATCCCCAGACACGGAACGCAGACGCATCGCCAACCTTCCCCGTCCACAGCAAAGCTGGGGAGGTCTCCGGCATGGAGACCCTGGGGTGAAGGTTGATCTGGTGCGCCGCGTACCGAACCGCAAACGGCCACAGAAAATGGGGGGCAGCCGCATGCATCATGGACGTACGGGCGACATCCATGATCATGCCAATGCGGCGCTCAGCAATCCCATTTTGCTGTGGAGAGTCCGGAAGCGTGAAGGTCTGGCGGATGCCTCGTGCACGACAGTAGGCTCGCAGAAGGCCAGAGGAGAACTCTCCACCTCTGTCAGAGTGCAGACGCTGAACAGGAAAGTCCGAGCCGAAGCTCTGCCTGAGCTGGAGACGAGCTGCGCGGATCCAGTCGATCAACACCTCAGTGACATCACCCTTGCTGCGCAAGGGGAAGACTGTGGTGTAACGCGAGTAGTCGTCAACCACCAGCAGGAAGTAGCGCTCGTGACCCTGTCCACGGACGCGGGCCGGGCCCCACACATCCATGTGAAGCGTCTGCAGCGGGGCCTCTGTCGGAGGAAACTGGGAGGAGTGAGGGGCAGCCCGCTGCCGCCCCTCGACACAGGGGACGCAGGTAGGGCCAGGCCCCGGAGGAAGGGGAGGGAGGGACCGGGGAAGACCAGAGACAAGGACACGGGAGGCCATGCTTCGGAGACGAAGCAGGGAGGGGTGACCAAGGCGGTGGTGCCAGAGGAGAGTCTCGTGAGACAGGAGGCGACACGAACAGGGGCAGACTCAGGACCAGACCTGGACGCTGCAGCAAACACCTGACCCGACGCAGCTACCTGACCAGACGTAGTGACTGGAGGAGACGCAGTGGTCAGGGTGTACAGGCTCGACCCCGGCCGACGGGTAAACGTGGCCAGGTGTCGGCCTGTCCGAGCGTCCGTGCAGTGGGTCACCCGCTGACTCGCAGGAGTGAACTGGTGAACCCCCGCATCCTGTAGGTCAGCACCACTCACCAAGTTCGTAGAGAACGAGGGAAGGTAAAGACCAGACAGGGTGCCAGAGGGGGCCGCCGGACACGGGAGGACAGTGGAGAAGTGAGCAAGGACAGGACCCCCAGAGGGGTCTGCCAGAGAGACTGCAACTGGCCGGCTAAGCGGCGTGAGTGTGGTGCGGTCTCGAAAGAAGGAGCGAGAAGCCCCCGAGTCAAGGGTGAAGGTGTGGGAGGCCGAAGCCGACGCAGAACCTGAGAGAGCAGACTCACCAGCACCTGAGGGAGCAGACGCACCTAGAGCAGCAGCCTCGCTAGCACCTAGAGCAGCAGCCTCACCAGTACCTAGAGCAGCAGTCTCAATGCCCGGGTCGGGCGGAAAACACCGGTAACAGTCACCCTCATCACTAATAGTCACAGTATACATGGCAGCAAGAATAGCATCAAAGTCAAGGTCAAAGACAGCCACACCCGCCCTAGACAGCTCACCCCAGCGGGGGATCTCAGTGGCCTCAGGGAACTGGTGACGCCAAGCGTCCGTCAGGCGGCCAAAGCAGCGCTGGGTGGAGTGCGCACCCCCGCACTGCTCACCCGCGCGGTCGCCGGTGCGGAGGACGTAGGTGCACGGACCAGTACCCCCACCCCTCTGGCGTGCAGTGTACCACTCACGGAGCTGCTGAGGGGAGGGGATGTCACGAGTGCGCTGCTGCTGCTGCTGCTGCTGCTGGCGCTGACCACCACCGGAGCCGACCCTCTGCGCAGCGCCACCCTGACCAGCTCCACCTCCTCCGCCGCCTCCTCCTTCACCGCCGCCACCTCCGCTCCCTCCGCCACTGCCGCTGCCGCCTCCGCCTCCACTGCCACCACCAACACCTCCACCCCCGCCACCACCCCCACCGCCACCCCCACCTCCTCCACCGCCTCCACTGCCGCCTCCACCGCCCCCGCTAGCTCCTCCAGCGCCCCTGCCCCCCTTGCCCTTGCCAGGGCGGCGTCTTCCGCTAGGGGTAGACGCCGCACCGACCGACTCAAGCCCAACGAGGTCGGCCGCAGCAGCAGAGGCAACAGAGGGCAAAAGGGGGGAGGGGGAACACCCCTCAAAGATGGGGGTGCGAGGGTCACCACGAGAGGCTCCTACAGCCACTATGCTCTTCTCTGCTGCTAGGAGGGACTTCTCGAGGAGGTCAACGGTGAGAGTGGTGGGGCAAACTGAGAGGAAGTGGTCCCTGACTACGCGAAGGGAGTCAGGGAGCTGGGTGACTATGTAGTAGAGGGTGATGTACATGGGGGGGGGGTTCTTGGCGCAGAACTCAGCAGGAAGCGCAGCGCGGTAGCGAGTGTCACTAGTGCGTAGGTGCGTAATGAGGTCAGCGACTGTGGGAAAGGCAGCAAGGTCAGGGAAGAGGTACGGTAGCATGAGGCGACTCTGTGCAGCAGTGGCAGGGGAGGAGTAGCGTGCAACTACAGCGTCGTACAAGGTCTGAGCACTCTTGTACTGGCTAAAGTGCGCACGCTCAGAGGTAGGCAGGTGGCGACGCACAGCAAGACGTGCAGCAGCATCGCGCGTGGCCCACTGGGAGCGAACAGTTGCGTCAGCATCAGTGGCGGGGGCAGGGGAGGCACCAGAAGTGAGGTCAAAGAGGGAGAGGCCGTCTGCCCTATCGCACTGTAAGAAAAGCTGCAGGTCATCTATCCAGACGTCAAAGTCAATGGCCCGACCCTCAGCGTCAAAAGTGAGGACACTAGGGGTAGCCATGACAGCAGTAGACTAGCAGCGCAAACAGTGGGGTGAGGGCAGTGCTGTGAGAGAGGCGCTGCTCTTACCGGACAGGGCGGCTCGGGCGGCTCGGCTGCAGGGCGGCTCGGCGACTCGGCTGCTGGGCGGCTCGGCTGCTGGGCGGCTCGGCGGCTCGGCTGCTGGGCGGCTCAGCGGCTCGGCTGCTGGGCGGCTCGGCGGCTCTGCTGCTGGGCGGCTCGGCTGCTGGGCGGCTTGGCGGCTCGGCTGCTGGGCGGCTCGGTGGCTCAGCTGCTGGGCGGCTAGGCTGCTGGGCGGCTCGGCGGGGCCGCTGAGAGGGCGGCGTCCGGGGCCGTTGGGAGGAGGCGGCGGGGCCGCTGAGGGGAGGCGGCGGGGCCGCTGAGAGGAGGCGGCGGGGCCGGAAAGGTAGGTGGCGGGGCCGCGTCAGGGGCCGCGACAGGGGCCGCGTTAGGGGCCGCGTCAGGGGCCGCGGCAGGGGCCGCGTCAGGGGCCGCGACAGGGCCGCGTCAGGGCGCCGCGTCAGGGGCCGCGTCAGGGCGCCGCCAGGGGCCGCGGCAGGGCCGCGTCAGGGCCGCGCAAGGGGCCGCGGCAGGGGCCGCGTCAGGGGCCGCGTCAGGGCCGCGTCAGGGCCGCGGCAGAGCCGCGTCAAGGGCCGCTTCAGGGCCGCGGCAGGGGCCGCAGCAGGCCGCGTCAGGGCCGCGTCAGGGGCCGCGGCAGGGCCGCGTCAGGGCCGCGGCAGGGGCCGCGTCAGGGCGCCGCGTCAGGGGCCGCGTCAGGGCGCCGCCAGGGGCCGCGGCAGGGCCGCGTCAGGGCCGCGTCAGGGCCGCGGCAGAGCCGCGTCAGGGCCGCGTCAGGGGCCGCTTCAGGGCCGCGGCAGGGGCCGCGTCAGGGCGCCGCCAGGGGCCGCGTCAGGCCGCGTCAGGGCCGCGTCAGGCGCCGCCAGGGGCCGCGTCAGGGCGCCACCAGGGGGCGCGTCAGGGGCCGCGATAGGGCGCCGGCAGGGGCCTCGTCAGGGCGCCGCCAGGGGCCGCATAGGGGGCGCGTGGGAGGCGGCGTAGGGGCCGCGTAGGGGCAGCGTAGGGGCCGCTAAAAAAAAAAAGAAAATTAGGGCAGGGCGCAATGTGCGTGGGCAGCTAAAAAAAAAATTCTTATGGTGGGCCCTTAGGAAGGAACGGTCCCATGTAGGAACCCGCTCTATACCATGTGAATCAAGAAAACAGGAATGAAATGACTAAGTGAAAGTTGGGTACAAAAGGCAAACCCTAGGAAACTGTACCCCATATGTGCTACTCCACTATAGCCTACAGTAGCTATGTCAAATAACTCTGACATTTGTCCGATACAAATCGAACATCAGTCGCGCCCCCGCCACCTACGTCACCGTCACCAACAACGAGCAACTGCGTGCGAACGCGCAAGGCATTGTGGTGCTGCAAGCTCGAGATAGCAACACGCACATCACGTTCAATGACGTGCTCTACGTGCCAGATCGGCGCTTCAACTTACTTTCTGCCGCACAACTATCTCGCCACGGATCCCTACTGGCACGACCTCATCCTCACCTACGCTCCTCCAGACACACCCGCCGAGTCGCACAATATGTCGGAAGAGCTCGATCGCTTGGCGGTGTCTACGTGCTTGACTTCGATATACCCAACTGCCAAGCGCCCTCATACGAGCTTGTGGACCTCGTCCCCCTGGATTTTCCTTACATGAACGAGGAGTCATGGCAGCACCTGGATGGTCGGCCCTGGACCATAGTCCTCACCCTCGTGAGATCAATCTGCACAAACCTGCACCCGACGGACTCTACATCACATGCTTCACACCTACGGCGAGACGCACAGAGGAAGTCAAGAGGGATCTTGCGGCAATCCAAGAAGCAGAAAGCGCCGAAGCCGAACCAGAGGCCATGGCGGAGATGGAGCTAGCCGTCACGTGTAACCCGCATCTTCGGCATTGGCAATGAAAACCTTGGCATAAAGGAGCAGGAGCGACCAACTCCGCGCAACAAAACTCTTCGCTGGATCCTTGAGGAAGCAAACACCACAACCTTCGACGAGGAGAACCGTCCGCGCCCCTATCCCTGCGATGTCTATCATACCATCGACACGGCGTGGAAAGATCCTGACAAATCTGAAGAGCTTAGCGTCAAGGAAGAAGAAGAAAAGGCAAGGGCCGAGAAGAAGGAAAAAATGTATCAGGAGCGCATCGCGACAGGCTGGGACGAAGATTCAGCACGACACGGTGCATGAGGAGACGATGACAGCACAGGAGCCTCATGGGGGTCCACCACTGGTGCATCAGGCACTGTCCAAGGATGGGGGACTGACGGCTGGGGTGACACAGGTGGACAAACACTCGCCGAAGGCGACCTCACCCAACAAGAAATGGAAGAAGTGGAAAGAGAAATGGCTACATAACGACCTTTACCAAGAGTCGTCGTCCCACTTGGACGACGCCCGCGCAATCTCCCTTCAACTGGGAGACTGAGGAGGGGAACGTGCCAGCAATGCCGCCTCGTCACTCGCTTGGTCCAATCTCCCGCCCAGATCAGTTCGCCCGCTTCATTGAGGGCACCAGGACTCCGCTCAACATCATTCCCGACCGCAATTTCCTCGTGCTCTACCTCACAACAGCATCTACAGAAGGGGAGACAGCAGTAGAACCAGAAGCAGAGGAGCAGGACAACGAAGCAAAACAATGAGAAGGACCAGTGCTTCTAATTCCCTACGAGACAGAAGCATTGGTGACGGAGTATCACGCACGTTACCTGCGCACTCCTAGAATTCGCGCAGAGGATAATTCTGGCATCAACGACTCGGACACCCGTCGCTCCAGACATTCAATAATTGCCTCCGCGCCAAAGTTTTCCTGCCAGTGCACCCTTTCCTGATGGCATGGAGCCACTCAGCACATCACACCTAACCATTTACACCGTTTGCCCCACTGCTGCTCTCACACACCAAGGCTACCCCTCGTTGAAGCCGAGCACCAATCGCTACAAGAAGCTGCAGAAAGTCTACAGCGACAACATCGTACTCACGTTTGAAGACATCAACGGCAAAAACAACACGCTCACCTTTGTGGATGCATACTTATGCTACGTCTGGATCGCCAACGTCGACGTCCGCTTCAAGGCCCCTGAGATCTTCCGCATCTGGCTCGCACACGCACAATGGGAATCAGGAAAGAAGCTGAAGATTTGGCAAATAGACAGCGCCAAGGAATTTCGCAGCAATGAGCTGGAAGGGCTTCTCGCAGTGAAGGGGATCAAACATCAAATCTCCCTCCCCTACGCTCACCAGCAGCAAGGCATCGTAGAGAGGGTCAACCGCACTCCCGTAACGAAGATGCGCGCCCTCATGAACCAGTCCGGCCTACCCAAGAAGTACTAGCCGTAGCCATGAACCACGTCGTGCGCCTACATAACCTTCTCTCCACCACGGCCAATAGGGGTAAAATCTCCCCGCACACGAAGTGGACCGGGTCAAGGGGAGATACCTCCATGTTGAGGGTTTGGGGGTGTGTGATGCAAGACTGGCCGACTTCGGGCACTATCGGCAAGTTCACCCACCGCGCACGCTGGGGGGTCCACCTGGGACGTACAAGGGCTGGCTGATCCTAGACATCACCACCAACAAGATCGTACCTGCGCGCGACACCTAGACATCACCACCAACAAGATCGTACCTGCGCGCGACATCTTCTTCTACAAGTGACTCACCTTGCAGTAGTGGATCGAGGACCAGCGTGGCAATGTCGCACGCGCCTACGCCAACAACCGCCGCAGCTTTGCATCTCCGGAAGACAAGGCAGAAGCAGCAGCAGCAGCACTTGACCGCGACCTCGCCGACGAACATCCCGGCGTACCGCCTCGCCCGAGCAACAACGACGACGACGATGACAGCGACAACGCTCCCGCGCCAGGACCATCACATCGCCGTGCTCAGCCAAGCAGTCCCTCACCCACTCACGAGAGTGACGACGACGACGTGGTGGAGGTCACCGCTACGGAAGACGAAGGCGCCTTCAATGTCATCGAAGTTGTCGGCACTCAAGCTAAGGAAAGGGCAAACGGTGTCGGAGTTGGCAAACGAGGTGAGGCAACTGACCTCCTATGTAAATAATTACCCAACCGCCATGATGGTGAGAGCGTTTATTACGGGTTTGGAGGATCCCGGGTTTGCGGAAGAAGGTGTTGGGTGGGAGGCCAGTTTCATTGGAAGCGGCCAAGGAAGCTGCTAAGCATTTTGTGTCGTACGCACAACCGAAGGAGATAGAGAAGGAAGAGACAAAGGTAGTAAACTAGGAGTTGTACATGGACAAAATCACGAAGCAGTTTGAGCGGTTAACCACGCAACTCAAGCAAATGTAGTAGGGGAGGGGAGCCATGATTCTCCTTAGGCCAGGAGCAGGAGGAGGAGGTGGAGACTCAAGTGGTACCATCGTGGTAAGGAGGGACATATGGCGAGGGAGTGTCCTCAAAAGGGTAGGCCAGCTATGAATTTCATTCTACAGATCTTGGAGAAATCCAAGACCACCATAACCATAGCGGGTTTTTGAGTGGTGATGAAGGGGGAGTGGAGATGCTGGTAGGAGAACGGAAGCGACGTACAGTTAGGGATCCAGAAGGATGGGGAATTGATGATGCAAGGGAGGAGTTGAGAAAGAAGTTCGCGGATGGGGCGGAAGAGCCAAAAGGGTCGAGGTTTGTGAGGTGGAAGGCGAGGATCTCGTCCCTTCCCACCTCCTACAATCTGGTGGATCAGCTCAAACTCACACCCGTGAGTGCGAGCGTCTGGAAGTACATCAACGATAGCGACAAGGTAAGGACGGAGCTGCTAGAGGCACTAAAGAAGGGGCAAGAGGATAAGGAAGAGGGAGCAACACCTATGCAAGGGGTGGCAAATGTAGTGGCAGCCGTATCGGTGGAGATGAAGGAGAAAAAAAGGGCGGCACCAAGGGCTAGCAACTTAGTTTTTCAAATCCCACAGTGT